CATGGCCGAGCAACCCGTCGACTTGGCAACTTGGCTTCGCGCTTCGCATGCGCTTTGTGCGAGTCCATTGCAAAGCGCATCAGGCTGAATCAGTTCCAATTAGCGAAGAGAAAGGTGGTCTGGAGGACTGACAGATATGTTTGCCACAGTGAGATTTCTGGAACAGCGTTTAGCTGCGAAGTGTTTGTGTCGGATAGTCCAGTTAACACACGCGCAAATTGCACATGGTAAGCCCTGTAAGGGTGATACAATGCTGAGCACGGCAATCCCTTGCTGTTTAGTCCAGCAGAACCAAGGACTACTAGGTGGAGGCCATCGCTACTAGGTTGGAGGCCATTCCTAGTAGGTTAAAGGGCATCGCTATTAGGTTGGAGGCCATTACTACTAGTTAGTAGCAAGAAGCTACTAGTAACAAGGCACCTTACTACTAGAAGCAAGTAGCTTGAGTGGTGAAGACACCTTTCAAGTTTCAAGTTGTCCTGTCAAACACTCTCCACGAGTGAGGCTAAACCAAGAACCCAAGGATACCCAAGGCGTCCCAGTGTAGCCTCGTGTTGTTCATGCTGATTGTCGTGTACAGGTGGAACTAACGGAACTAACACCATCAAATCACACTTCGGTCGGTCTGAGTGCAACGCAAACGCATAATTTTTTCGGAACTCATCATCCAAAGTCTTCCAGCTGTTGAGTAGTAGCTTGTTACTAGTTGTAAGGCACTTAGCTACGTAGTAGTAGCGTCCTTGCTACTACTAGCGATGCACCTTGCTACTAGTAGCTACTTGTTACCATACACAACACGCAGAATTGTCGGAACTCATCCAAAGTCTTCCAGCTGAGTAGCGAGTCTGTATCCAAATCACGCGTTTCTACAGCAAGGAGCGTGTGGAGCATATGAGTCAGAGACAAAACTAGAAGCGATGGCCTCCAAGCGAATAGTGTTTCTACAACAAGAGTGTGGAGCATATGCACTACAATTCCCAGTGACCAAAATAGTATATCATGAGGTTCATGGCTATGCGCAGCCTTGGAGTTGCGCATGTTTGGCGGTTGTTTTTGGTGTCACAGCCATACGGGCCCCCCGGAGGCGTGCAGTCTTCGTGTTTGACCAACATGTTGATGTTCAGTTACATCCGGCGAAGTGGGGAAGGGAGGGGACAAGTGACGTTCGTTCGTGCCTTCGTTAGTTTATGGAGGTGGACACCGCAGCAGCATGGAGCGGGGGACGGCCCCTGCGGCGGGGTTTATGTTACGTTGTTTGAGATTGTTGGCTTGATGTTCGGGCGGGTTCTGTGTTGTGTGCAAATGGTGCAAAAGCATAGTCAGCCGCTGCAGCCAAGTACCCTTCGAAGTGCTTGACTGTGAAGCACGTCAAGCATGTGAAAATTCAATGAACAAAGCATGCCAAATAAGTCAGCTTGAAGAAGATGATCTTTGGCACACAGCAGCTGGATCGGCTGTGGTCGTGGATGAAGAAGATCATCTCGCCGCAAAGCAAAACCCGATCCAAAGGATTGGTGAACGGCTGTGGAATAGAGTTGACCAGTAGATCCACCGCTGCAAAGAGCAGAAACCTTGAAAGCAGAAAAAAAGGGTGCAAGTACATTTTTTTAACACGAAATCTGCCCACACGAACACGGGTGTCCCGAAAGGACGTGAATCCTGGTTTTTTGTTTTATCGATTTGACGCTGGCAGCCTTGGTGTTTTGCAGGTTTGAGGAAGTATAGCTATCGTATAGCTATCATACGTCCTCACTTTTTGTGTTTTAGTACGGTGCGACATGTGGCGGTGAATTGTTCGCCCCAAGCAATCCTAGCCAGCGGTGACCAATCAAACAAAATAACAGCGTGGTGAGTAACGATAGTTTTTGACTTCCCCTTACAGCAGACGGTTTAGTTTCACAAAAGGTTTCAATGTTTAGGAACAAGGACGCTACTAGGAACAAGAAGCTAGTAGAAACAATAGATAAATAGACTTTAATTAGAACATTGAAATTTGAATTAAAACCCAATCCTGTTGCTCGGATGCCCATCCATTTTTGCATGGCTGTCGCAAAGCGGGCAAATAAAGAAGATGATTATATGCTTCATTTTCCCACTCGACTTCAAAATAGAGCTCTCAGGTGTATTTGTCCGACTGGTGTTTTTATGTTGTTCAGTTTGCTTGCCGCTCCAGCGCGAAGGAGCCTAAGGAACCGGAGAAAGTGAAGGCGTTGCGAGTCAAATATCGTAGATAGGAGCGATGGCCTCCAACCTACTCGAACCTACTAGCCTTCTTGTTACTAGCAGTTTCTTGCTGTCAGTAGCGATGCCAGGGGCCCCAAGTAGCGTCCTTGCTCCTACAGTAGTGAGGCCAGGAACCCTAGTAGTTTCTTGTTCCTAGTAGCAATGGCATCCAACCTACTAGAAAGGGAATCTTCAACAGTTGGCGCAAGTTGGCGCACAGCCGTTTGCTGGTGTCACTGTGCGGCGCAGGTTCCAATGGTTACAAGTCCGACAAGCGGAGTGAAGGGAGAGGCTGCAGAGGCTGCGATGTGGAGATCATATGATGGCCATTTGGAAAATGCTGAATTTCCGTGTGCAGCCTCGGTCTTCCAACTTAGGCAAGGACGCTACTAGGGGCTCCTGGCATCGCTACTAGGAACAAGAAGCTATTAGGGGCTCCTGGCCTTACTACTAGGAACAAGAAGCTATTAGAAACAAGAATTCATTTAAAAATGAAACTAATTCAACTTTAATTAGTTCTGATGTTTATTAAAGCATACTGTTTCTGGTCAAGACTTCATGTGTTTCTGATGTTTCATGTGTTCTGTCAAGGCTTCGCATTTGCAAATGAAGGCCGGCGATTTCAGTTTCTGCTCGTTTTCCTTTTGGCACTTTTGGCCTGCCAGGTTTCAAACGGATCCAAGGAGATGCAAGAGACTTCACAAAAAGGGAAACACCATTTTGGTTCTGGCCTCCAACCTAATGGCTTCTTGTTACGTGTAGTAATGCCCGGAGCTACTAGTAGCGTCCTTGCTCCTAGTAGCGATGGCTTCTAACCTACAAGCGAGGGCCTCCATTGTGACAGGACAAAGCTCTGGAGATTGAATCCATTTGCCGTGCAAACGTGGAGGCAGTGCTCAAACGCATGTGCTTGACAAGATAATTCTCTTCCCATTCTAGTAGTAACAAGAAGCTATTAGAAACAAGTGCATCGAATCTAGTAACAAGTGCCTTACTAGTAGTAACAAGTGCATCGCTTCTAGTAACAAGTGGCTTCCCATTCTCTTCCACCTGTGTGTTGAATTTCGAGGAGGGCGAGATCTGACTGTTTCGGCGTTCACCTCTTGAACACGAGACACGTTCTGTTTCACTCCAGCTGTCTCGCGCGCACGAGATATCATGAGACCAATGAGACCCAAAAGAATAGAGCGCGGTCAAAATGTTGCTGTCAAACTACATACTTAAGTCAAAGGAGGCAAACAGTTTTGATTGAGCACCGCATCATGTTTTACCATAGTTTGGGCGTCATGTTGCTGAGTGAAGCTTGGATGGATCAGAGTGAAGGGAAGTCAAATAGCACATTGTGCTGAGCGCTTGAATGTCCTTGCACATATCGCTTGCTGTTTGTTCGACACCTGCAGCATGTCTTTAGCACATCAGGTTGACTCCAGAATCTTCGGAAGTGATTCTTTACCAAACACATCCAAACAAGAAGCTACTAGGAGCAAAGGGCATTGCTAGGAACAAGAAGCTACTAGGAACACATCCAAACACATCTTCTCTTTCCCCAAACAACTGTAGCGAAAGGTTCCCGTTCAACGTTCGGGGTCTTTCGGAGTAGAGCTGTGCGACACCGTGACGCTGCGACACCGAGAGGAAAACGGTGGCCTCCAACCTACGTTCGTGCATCGCTTCTAGTAACAAGTGCCACGCTACTAGTAACAGGTGCCTTACTAGTAGTAACAAAGAAGCTATTTGAAACAATAAGAATTTAATAAAGATTGTAATTACTAGCAAAGGAACCTACGTTCGTTCGTAGCTTCTTGCTACGTTCGATGGCCTTCTTGTTACGTTCGTAGCTTCTTGCTACTAGTAGCGATGCCAGGAGCCCCTAGTAGCGTCCTTGCTCCTAGTAGCGATGGCCTCCAAGCCGTAGCAGCATCCAATACGTAATGCCTTGCGAAGTGCTCCCTGTGACATCATATCCTTCTGTGCAGCATCCTTGCTCCTACGATGCCCTTCTTACTAGCGATGCCAGGAGCCCTTCTCACTAGCGATGCCAGGAGCTGCTAGTGGCATCCTTGCTCCTACTGGAAATGCCCTTTGCTACTAGTAGCTTCTGGCCTCCAACTACTAGCGATTTTGCTCTATGGATAGATTAGTGGAAGCTGTTGGCGACAGATCTTGGATAGATGGATGACGTCAGATTTGTTTGAAGTAGTGTTGGAGCCTGGTGTTCCAAGTCTGCTATATATATTATTTATACAGTAGCATTTCGTTCGGGAGCATACAGCACCGTGCCAATGTGATTTTAATGTTTGAAAGCTTTGCCCCGAAGATTAATCTTTACGAAGAGCCTCAGCCAATATTAGAGGTTTTGAGTCAGAGGCCAGAAGGTGTGCTATTTTTAGTGGCAGGAACATTAAGTCCTTTGTTCATATTGGAGGTTTTTGGGGTTCATTTTTGTCTCAGGCGGTGTACTGTTTGGTGAGGGGGGTTGTTGGTGTGCCATTTTGATTGGCGATTGGGGTGTCGGCTTTGCTGTAAAGTGTTTGACTACGAAGCTGCTTGGCAGGGTTTCGTGCGGCATTCTGAGGCTTCCCGCTTCACTATTTTGGTCTGGCCTCCAATCTAATTAGCGATGGCCTCCCACTAAAGAGTCTTAAGCAAAAGTGCAACTCAAGAGTGTCAAGCAAGAGTATGCTTCAATTTTACTTAGAGCCAGACAAAGGTGTCCTACAAGAGTGCCCTAATTACAGGAGATGTTCAATTTGTGTTGCGTGCTGGTTCCTTCGTTTCATTTTGTTTGATGTGTTGCTTCTAGCCTGTCAAGTTTCAAACAAATACTTTTCAATGCGCTTGCGGCCCTGACCCATGGACTCCCGGGCCGAGATTTTGGCCGCGCTTCGGACAAAAATCGCCCGAGGCCACGACATTTGCAAGTTGCAACTGATGGCCTCCAACCTAATTAGTGATGGCCTCCAACCTAATTAGTGAT